AACCCAGGGTATCATGCTTGCTAGGCAAAAGCACCACATCCCCAGCACCCCTAAGCTACTTTTATATATTTATCTCATTTGGTGGTCCTAACAATCTTATGACTAAAGAAAGAAAAGTAGCTTTATTAGGCCTTTCTGCACATAATAAGTCTTAAAGAATTTGTGTTACTGGATGAACTTGAAAGGACCAAGATATAATTTAAAAAATTATATCTATTTACCTTTTCATGTTCTATTGAATCCTACTTGGTATAAAAAGGCCTTAGCCTTAGGTGTTTCAGTCTTGTTAGGGAAATACCATAGGGTTAAGTCCTAAATTGTTTAGGGCAGAAAGCAGTAATTAAGAATGGAAAAGAAATAACTTGAGTAGCTGGGAACGTTTACATGTAAAACGGGGCGTGGGGACGGTCGTGGGGGGCGGCTTTTGTACTTCCCATTACATTTAAGAAACTTCAAAGTCCTTACTTTGTGTCAYACTTTGCTGGGTGAGAAGTTTACAGAAGCAGTTAGGACTAGTTTCTGCCTTGAAGGATCTTTGTGTATAGGGAGTAGGTCACMGTGTCCTGAACTGGATTCTGAAGAACTGATTAGGATTCACATGGGCCGGCGCTCAGAAGGAAGAGTGGGTTAGAAAAGCAGATCAGAAGACAGGATACAAGGCATTCAAAGGATAGATCTTTGAGAATTAAAGGAACCCCCAAAGTTTGTTTGATACGCAAAAATGCTCTGTTTTTCGTTTCTTGTTAAGATATTCACCATGAACATATTTGGAAGCGGGGACAAAAATGACTTTTTCAGTTGTAAATCCTATGCCTCCCCTCTTTAAGCTTAGAATTCATCCCTTAGCGGCCACACTCAAAGTAAACTCTATTAATATAACAACAGGTGGTCAGAAAACTTGGATTTGAGCCATACCTATGCCACTTAGTTTGCGTCACCYTTTCCTTCTCTAAGACGAGGRTAATCCAAAAGGCCGCCTCTCAGGGTTTTGTGAGAGTGATTTAAAACAATGTCTGTGAAGGTACTTTCTCTGCCACACGCAAGGCGCTTTTATCTCCGGGTTCTTCCCAGTCTTGGCGACTGTGAGATTTGGGGCAAGAAAAAAAAGGAGGCAACAGACAACTTTCCTTACGGCTGGGGTGGGGGRAAGAAAAAGCCTAGCGCGCGGAAAACTGCAAATATCCACGCAAGCACAAGCGCACAAGCCACGCCGCGCTTTTCCCCTAGAGGGCAGGGCAGACGATGACGTACCCACGTCGTGCGMGCTGACGTCCTCATTGCGCGCGCCGCCGGTCTGCGTCTGTTGTTGCCCGGTGCGCGTCGCACGCGCTTCCGGCCCGGCCGTTAGAGGGCGGAGCTTCCGCCTGGACGGGGGTGGGCGAGTTCACYTGCTGCGCCGGAGTAACTTTTCTGTAGTTGTTGTCCAGCTGTAGTCACGTGAAAGTGTGGCGTCGAGAGAGTTTTCTGTTTCTCTTTGCCAAGTCATCTTCTCTGCGGTCGTACAAGCGGTGACTCCGTCATGCCGAACTCGAGGTCCAGGCCTCGCCGGGGCGCCGGGAATGGCTCCGGGGCTGCCGGCCGGGACGAGTTGGTGTCGCGGTCCTTGCAGAGCGCTGAGCATTGTCTGAGTGCCCAGGACTTCGGCACTGCTTATGCCCACTACCTCCTGGTGCTCAGCCTGGCGCCGGAGCTGAAAGACGACGTGAAGGTGAGGTCTCTTCTCCGTTCTTCTAAAAAAGTTAAAAACAAAAAACGGCAGGCAGGTGAAGGGTCCTGGGTACCTGGTAGTTGCTATTAGTATTTATTATTCATCCTTGCAGCCTTAATTTTATTYACATTCATGATCTGCCAGCAGAAAATCCTGTCGGCTCCACCTTCAAAATTATGTCCAGAATCCTATCGGCTTTTACTGTTTTGTCCTTTATACCCTGGTTCAAGAATCCACCTGCAGATTGTTGCAGTGGACTCTCTACTGGGTTCCTTCCTGTAGTCGGTCTCAACACGGCCAGCTTTTTGTTACAAAAGTAAAAAACGATGTCACTTCTTTGTTTCAAAACGTTCATTTCACTTGAAGTTCCCACAGCCCTCAGATCCCAAATGAGGCCTTAGGTGATGTGCTCCCTCATGCCCCTGTCGTGGAGCCTTTGCATTTTTGTGGGTCTCTGTAGTCGAWTAAAGTGTACAATTAACCTGGAATAATCATTGTTTGATGATGCATCTTTTAGTTTCAATTATTATTTGCAACAGTTACTCTGTTGAAATACTGTTGTTTTTTTTCCCAAATGGTTTTAGAATCCACATTTTGAAAAATGATTCAACTTAAATTTCATAGTCAGTGTTCAGTTGCAAGCTAGTTGGCTTAATTTAATTTAACTTAGGGTTTCTCATCCTCAACCTTGTTGATATTTTGAATGGAAAAACTTCTTTGAGGGGCTATCCAGTGCATGGGTAGAATATTTTAGCAGGTTCCTTGTTCTCTGCCCACTAGATGTCAGTAGCATCTAGACTTTCATAGTTGACACAAATTATCTTAGTGTAAATTTCAGGAGCAACTGGCTTCTTCAGAAGGAGATGATAGTTTRCCCCTTTGTGTAGGTGTCTTTAGGGTAATAAATCAACCCAAGTGCTCTTTCCTCAGTTCTTTGTTTTTTASTTTCTTCTGTAAACAGGGACAATATCTGTCTTTAAAGGGTATATGGACCAGTGCTGTGGCACATGTCTATAATCCCAGTAGTTTAGGAGGCTGAGTTAGGAGGATCTTACTTTTGCTGAGGCTGATCACCCCAGCCTCAGCAAAAGTAAGGTGCTATGCAACACAGTGAGACCTCTAAATAAAATACAAAACTGGAGGTGTGCCTCAGTGGTTGAGTGCCCATGAATTCAATCTCTGGTA